AGTGAATGAGAAAGAGTGTTTTCCCAAGGACTGGGAAGAGACAATGGCGGTGGGTTTTGTTGTTAAGGGTTGCGGGGGAAAATTGCAGAGAAAAAAAAGAAGAGGATTTTGGAACAAAAAAAGGGACAAATGTCACATCTCGGCCTGGGCTTGACTCCGCCGTAGCACGATATTGTCCGCTTTAGGTCCCAACTACGCCTTCACGGTTTTGTTTCTAGGAACCCACATGAGAACTTCCTAGTGGGTCACCCATCATGGGATTGCTCTCGCGTGAACTCGCTTAACTTCGGAGTTCCGATGGAACCCGAAGCCAGTGAGCTCCCAAAATGTCTCGTGCTAGGTAGAGATTGTCATAACTCGGCCTGGGCCCCTACCATATCCCGAGCTCGATTCCGTCGTAGCACGTTATTGTCTGCTTTGGACCCCAACCACACTGTCACGGTTTTGTTTCTGGGAACTCACACGAGAACTTCCTAATGGGTCATCCATCATGGGATTGCTCTCGCACGAACTAGCTTAACTTCGGTGTTCCGATGGAACCCGAAGCCAGTGAGCTTCCAAAAGGCTTCGTGCTAGGTAAAGATGGGAATATACATATAAGGCTTACAGGACCCTCACCCCTGGGCGATCATGTAAACCTTATATGTATATTCCCATTTTTGACACACCTTGACCCGGAATGTCCACTAGGACTCCGAATTGAGTTGTGTTGGCCGACACCTGGAAGGTGATGAAGCCATAAAGTATAATGATGTGAAAAATGTGAATAAATTTAAACCTAAAAATGCCTAAATACCAGAGTGCGCGGTGAGCGGGTGTGAACCCATTTCACATGCATTGTCATAGCATAAGTAAGGTACAGTAGTATGGGTAAGAATCATACCCTTAAAGGTAGCCATTTATATTGAGAATCGCCAAGAATCCTCATCGATACGAACTTTCAGTAGCTAAAAACCTAGAGGGGCTCAAAATCGAAAATGTGAGTGGGCAATAACAAACCTTTTTAAAACCATTTCTCGTTCCAAAATAATAATAACCCCTCATTGTAAAACCCATATAATTTCCCAAAAAATAATAATACATACATATATAAAAATCATGCTCGAGAATAGTGAAAACCAAGTATATGCCATGTCAAGTATCTCAGCAATGATATAAGTAAGCCAGGTAAAATAAATCAATGTAAAATGATATGTCAGCCGGAGTCACCTAACATGACTTGTACGGCTGAGCCTATAGCTCATCTACCAATTCCTGCACACGAATCAAAACCATATTAGGTGGTTCCGACTTGTAGGTAACTTGTGATACTTCGCACAACCTTCATGTGATCATAGCACTTGAGCGTATCTATTTACACCCAGCCAAAACGCCCTTTGAGGCAAAGACGTTGACTTATGTTGACCGCCTTGTCGTGTCATGTAAGGTTCATTTTCTTAGCGTATTCTCATAATACTTGTCGCTACAGACGCGTGGGCCCAAATCGGACAATATTGTGCTACAGCGGAGTCGAGCCAGGGACATGGTGAGGACCCGGGCCGGGATGTGACAATTTGGTATCAGAGCCAATCCCTGGCCGGAAGTGTGCCGACGAGGACGTCGGGCCCCTAAGGAAGGTGAATTGTAAGATCCCACATCGCCTAGGGGTGAGGATCATGTAAGTCTTATATGTATATTCCTATCTCTACCTAGCACAAGGCATTTTGGGAGCTCATTGACTTCGGGTTCCATCGGAACTTCGAAGTTAAGCGAGTTCGTGCGAGAGCAATCCCATGATGGGTGACCTACTGGGAAGTTCGAGGTATTTTAGGAGCTCACTGGCTTCGGGTTCCATCGGAACTCCGAAGTTAAGCGAGTTCGCGCGAGAGCAATCCCATAATGGGTGACCCACTGGGAAGTTCTCGTGTGAGTTCCTAGAAACAAAACCGTGAGGGCGTGGTTGAGGCCCAAAGCGAACAATATTGTGCTACGAGGGAGTAGAGCTCGGGATGTGGTAAGGGCCCAGGCCGGGATATGACAACAAAGGTAGGGGACGGATGGAGTAGGGAAAAAGATAGAGGATGGGGGTGGATCCCATAATTTCTTAATAATTTTTTTAAATGATTTTCTATATTTATTAAATTTTTTGTTGAAATATATTTATTAGTATTTAATTAATTTTTTAATTTAGTTAGGTAAGGATGTGGGTCCCATGCTTGCCAGCTCATAATTTAACAGTCAAACTTAACAGAAAAATTGACATAGGTATGACTGCAATGAATTTGTAAGATGAGGTATGACATTGTCGTTTTTAATGAGGTATGAGATTGTGGTTCGACCCATATTTGAGGTAGTTTTGCTTAATTTACCCAAAATTAAACCATAAACCTATAAAATACCCTAGTGGGTTCGGCCACTGGAGGTAAAACACCCTAAAACATGTCTAAAATTTATTCATCCATAGGAGCTGATGCTTCCTGAAAATCTGATATCTCCATAGATGTAGCAGCATCTTCCGGATGATCCACATGTGCAAAGTTAGACTCACAACGGGAATGATACTTGGCAATAACCTCGAGGGTAGCTCGGAATATGCATGACCAATGATATTTTGATCCACGGCAGTAGCACATGTCCATTTCGGTGGAAGTCGATTGAACGGGATCTTTTCCCTTGTTCTTGAAGTTTGGGGCCTTAGGGATAAGGGGTTGGCACTGCTGCATCACATTTCCTCTTTTGGGTGGGCCTTGATTCTTTTGACCTTGGGCCTATGGTGGGGCTTGCCACCCATTGCCACGACCACGACGATTCTTATGTCGTTTGTGGTTACTAGAATTGGTCGCATGCGCTTCAGGTGTGGCGTTTGAGCCAGTCGGTTGAGCATGATAATTCTACATCAGAAGCTGGTTTTGTTTTTTAGCTAAAAGTAAAACAAAGATTAAATCTGAAAATTTGGTGAACTTTTAAGCCCTATATTGTTGATGCAGGATAATATTTGTGGCATAGAAGGTCGAATAGGTCTTCTTCAGAAGATCTAATTCGGTTAGTTCCACTTTACAGAATTTCAGTAGTGATGGATTCTACAAACTCTAGAGTTGTATTCATTCACGGACTTAAAGTTTTGAAAGCGAAGATGATGTCAGTCGTGTCTTGCTTCAGGTAAGTAGATGTCTTTCTGGTGATCGAAACGGTCGGCCAGAGTAAGCCAGAGGGTGCATGGGTCATTCTTCGCGAAGTACTCGGTCTGCAGTGCATCATGGATGTGTCTTCGAATGAAGATTATTGCAGTAGCTTTCTGAGCTTCGTCGACAAGTTTGTCGTCAGTAGGTGCCTTGTTGGTGACTCTAATACCCTTTGCAGTAAGATAAAGCTTCACGTCTTGAACCCACTTCAGGTAGTTTCTTCCAGATACTTCCGGAGCAGTGAAATCGAGCTTGCTCAAGTTCGACATGTCCCTAAAACGAAGGGTACAACAAAAACGTGGTTAGTCATATGGTGATCCATAGACATACATTGTAGGACATTCATGTTCTATAGACATGTATTGGTTTTATTTATGCATGAAAACTACAGGTTTCATGTGGTAAGTTTTGAATGAAAACTTCAGGTTTCAAAGGCACTAAATATGAAAGTACATGTTAAATTTAGTTTATGAACGATTAGTTCATAAAGGAGAGGTTCATGCAAGAAACACAGAATGCAATATGTTGATTGAAGTGTAGTGGATTTAAGTTGTTTCAGGAACTCAAGTGTGAGAACTTCAGGACTACGAAATGATGTCAACGGTTCAAAGTATAAAAATAAATTATTGAATCGTTAATGTCCAAAAGTGATATTCATGTCAATAATTTTGGATTAATTATCATATTAATGGACTGTAGGTCACTTTTAATTAATTCAATAGATCGGGACCAAACGGGGTCGATCGTGGAAGCAAGAATAATAATAACATTCAGGTTAAAATTATTTAAAATGCCAAAATTAGCATTGGATTTGAAAAACCATAGCCCAATAGCATTTGGGCTTGGGTGCTGTGAGTAGGGCAAAGCCCTAGAGGCTTTTGGGCCTCAGGTTTGGTTGCTAAGCAGCCCACATGTGGTTGCAGGCCATGGGCCGAGGGTTCTGGGTGAGCACAGTAGCAATAGCTGCCGAAATTGGGCCAAAATTGGACTTGGGTGTAGGCCTAACAAAAGCTGGCCTTTGGGTTGGTTCGAGGACGCCTAGCCGAAGCTAGGTTTTGGGTTTTGGGCTCGGGGCAGGTCAAGCCTAGCAACAAAGGTTGTGGGCGAATGGGCCAAAGATTGGGCAAAGCCTAATGAGTTATAGGCTACTGCAGGCAAGCCTGTCATGGGCAAAAGGAAGCTCGGTAGCATTGGGTTGCTGGAGTTGGGCCAGGGACTCGGAACAATGGGCCAAGAAGGTTGCAGGTTTTCTTGGTTGGGCTAAAGGACTGCAAGCCCTATGAAGCTAATTAGACCGAAGGTCTAGGGTTCGGGTCAGCGTAGCAAAGCACAAAGGGCTGTTGCTATATGGTCCAAGGTGTCAAACAACATTGTTTCATGACATGCTCTACACAGTTGGGTTTCAGGCCAACGATAATGGTTCGGCGGAGCCACAGTAGTGGTGCGGCGGCTGTGCCGGTTCCCATTATTATTATTATTATTTATTACTCCTAAAATATTACGATAAAGATATAATAACTTACTGAAATTATAAAGCCAATAAAATTAGTTACTAACGAGAAAACAGTTATTAGCATTGGACAGAACAGAAAAAATGATAAATGAACTCCAAAAAACTAGCTTTGCACCGGTACGTAGGGACTCTTCAGTAATTACCCCTCGCCCCCAAACCGTGACGGTGAAAGCTGAGCGCGCATACGCGCTAGAGTGGACAAAATTATTTTTGGAGTGGAAATAACATTGTCCAGAAGAAATTAAAAAAAAAGAAAAAAGAAAGAGGAAATAAAAGTTAAGCGCCAAAACATATTGATTCCCACTCTTTGTCCGAATAATCTCTGATACTTTGATTTTAGTCGCCTAACCGTAATCGCATTACTACTCGCCGCCTTCGTGACGCGCTCGTACGGAGGTGAATCGTCAACGTGCTTGACGCTGTACGAACATGGCGGTGCACCGGCGGTTTTCGAGTCCCAAGATTGGCTTCAATGGAGGCACTCCGACGGGTATGCTTCCCACTCTCGAAGCATGTCCAGCTGTGAAACGGCCGTGCTCGAAGATCGTACAAGGCCCCTGGAGGATCGCATTCTCTGCGCTCTCAACGTCCGCATTCCCTTTTCTGGTGCGTTCCGCAACCTCTCTCTTTCTCTCTCGCTGATTTGACAATAAATTGGGGCTTAGTCTGATTTTCTTTCACGCAGGTAATGGTGGTGGAATTGAGGAGGTTAGAGTTGGAATTGTTGCTGTTTTTGATGGTCATAGTGGTAGTGAAGCTAGTGATATGGCTTCCAAGCAGTTACTGGAGTATTTCGCTCTGCATATGCATTTTCTTGTCAGTGCTTCGTATTCTGCTATGTTGGAGAATGCTGCCTCAAGAACAGCAAGATTGCATAATTCGGATGGCTTTCAAGATCCTCAAGATTCCGATATTACTAGGTGGTTTTTGTTTGTTTGAATAAATTCTTTAGTTTTATTTGCTTTCTTGATAATATTTTCATAATTTTGGTATTAATTTTAATTTAAGTTCACTGATCATTTCTCAGGATCGAGCATTCATTGCAACCCCACTTTGATGCATTTTTCCAGTCGGACATTTTGAAAGAAGCGTTGTTGAGGGCAATTCATGATATTGATGCAAAATTTTCCATAGTATATCAACTTTTCTCTGCTTACTTAAAAATGTTCTTTTGCTTAATGTGTTATATCCAATTACTCTTATGTTGATCTTGCTCTTATATCCTTATACTTTCAAAGGAAGCATCTGCAAAAAATATTAGTTCAGGTTCTACAGCCACGATTGTACTACTAGCTAATGGTCAAATTTTAGTTGCCAATATTGGAGACTCGAAGGCTTTTTTGTGCTCGGAAAAATCTATGTATCCTGCTGAGGCTGAAGGTCAGAGAGGTTTTATCTCGTATCTTGTAATGGAATGTTTATTGTTTTAAAACACATGCATTTTGGGTATAATGAGAACGCATATTTTTTTTATTTCTGTGTGCTTGAAAATGCATAGGATTTGCTGTTTAGTTTTAATTTCAAAAGATCAAATGATGGTCGAGGATATTTATTCTCTTGTTTTCGTACTGCAGCCACTTGTCCGAGGCTATACACTCAGGAGAGGCATAAATGTAATAATGGTCCTGTTTCACGTCCAAGAAACTATGAAATGTTTGAATTGGCCAACCCTGAGGTAATGACTTTTTCTGCCAAGGAATTGACAAGAGACCATCATCCAGGCAGAGATGATGAAAAGTTTCGGGTGGAAACTGCTGGTGGCTATGATCTTTCATGGGGTGGTGTGCCTCGTGTAAATCATATTTCACAAGCAATTGGTCGTGTCTCAATTAAAAGGTGAGGTTCAGTGACAACAAGAAACTATGTAAACGGTAAACCCCATTTGATCCTATTGTACTTTGGCAAGAGCTTCTGATTTAGGGTATGTTAATGATTCATTCAAATTTGGTTAGTACTCATCAACCTAATTTATGCTTTTACTCAAATTCTGTTTTCGCTCTTGATTGTCATCAGGTTTGGCGTTCTCTCTGCACCAGAGTTGACAGATTGGCAACCCCTGACTGTAAATGATACCTACCTTGTAGCTGCATCTGTTGGAGTTTTCAGGAAACTGAGCGTGCAGGATGTTTGTGACTTAATGTTGGCAGCACAGAGATATACTCCTGGGAGATCAGAGTTGTCTTCACCCTGTTCATATTCATTAGCTGACTGCATAGTAAATACTGCAATGGAAAAGGGGAGTGTGGGCGGTGTAGCAGCTGTAGTCGTCACATTGGTATCTACTGGTTTGCAGAAAGTTTGTTGAAGGAAAGATCAGTTGAAGAGAGGCCTTTAAAGTTAGTTGAATGTTCAGGTGAGTTTCTTATGCTTTTAAACCTTCTTCAGTACCTTAATTGCACGGGGAGGATTTGCAATCTTACTTTGTAAGAATGCAAGATTAAAGTGATTAGTAATATCAATTGAAGTGGTTGACTGGTCGCAAGACTCGCAACCTTGGTACATTGATGAACAAAAGGGAGCATCTCATACAAAGATATCAAAGAAGGGAACAAATGACAAGTAGAATTTCTTTTGATACCATATTTAAGAACATCATCACATGAATTCTTTCCTAATGTTTTACACTGGTTAATACAGTCTTTTGATAATTCTTTAATTTGCATTGATCAGGCAATGTCTCTGCATATGACCTAAAGAAAATGGACCATGCTCATGTCGCTAATTCCAAATTTGAGAGGTTACTGGTAAGCCTTAAATCAAATTACTTTGTCATTTTACATATTCTTTTTTTCTCCTAATGTAGACTTCCTTTCTGTTTGTAGCCGTTGAGTTACTTGGATCTTTATAGTAGACTTCCATTTTGCTTGTAGCCGTTGAGAAAATTGGATGGCTAACTGTCAATAGAATGAATAATGCTTACTTTTACCATATTGGCTGTTCAGCAGCTTGATGAACGTGCAGATTACATGTTGCAAGCAACAGACAAGCACAAAAGTCATCAGTTTGACATGCCTCAGGTTCAATCGGATACCGCTGACCAACTGTATGGTAAGTGATGCAGGTGCCAAATCCAGGACTTCATTGCATGTTAGTGTTGGAAATATACTTAGTATTAATAACGTGTGATATTGTTGTTGCTTGTAATTAGTTCAATGGCAAGCCTGTGAAGTCGCTCTACAAACTGTCTTTGAAATTTTCTCTTCTTACTATGCAATTAATTATATTGTCTAGAGTCACTCAACACACAAAAAAGCACTTAACACATAAGTGCACACACACATGCACATTCCTGATGTACAGTAGAAGCTAGAAATTGAGACGAACAAGGCTTACCAGAATTCTATTGCATTGGTATATTTTACACACAGAAACTTTTACTGTTTCCTTTTGTTCTGATTTTAGGCGGACCTCTTATGCTGTTCCATAACCTGGATTTGTGTATGCACCTGCCAATGACTGGCGACAATGCTAAGAACCAATCTACAAATTCTGGAGGCTCTTCAACGTCCCTTCCTCTGTTTGATTCAATTTCATTCGACAAAGCTGGTTTAAATAGTGAATCATTTGAATATTCAGTGCCTCAGAGGAGGTACAAATATTTTCTTTACTTGATTGTCTCTGCATGGTGTCCTTGGTGAAGTAGATCATAAGACCAGAATGTTGTGACTTTGACATAAGATAATATCTTGAAATCATATTTGTACAACTGCAGAGTTTGTATGTGGGCAATATCTGGTTTTTACTGAAGTTTGGTTGGAGTCTTTGATCTTAGTTTTGACTTGATGTATATGTGCATAATCATTCATTCACGCTCACAATGAAGAGCAGAGGAGAAATTCCATTGCTTGCTGTAGTGGTCTTGTGTATCTACTTGATTAAATTTCACTTGCAAGTGTGATGTATATTCATTTGAAAATATATCATGGTGTTTATATCCATTCTCCTGCAAGTGAGATGCCACCTGTTTTTTGCTCTTTTAAGTTTATGCTTATGCTATACTCTAACTATGCCGTATGTTGATTTGATACTGTATCTTATTGCCAGAAGATATCTAAGAAACATTGTCCTTACTGGCTGGTAGGTATGTTCTAAGAAAGCGGTTTGGCTGTGGATCATATGGAGAAGTATGGCTGGCTTATAATCCGGACTATCATCAAGACAGCAATGCTTCATACTCGAGTGGGAAAAATAACACTATATCTAGTTATCTTTTTATTTTTATGACACACACTTTAGGGATTAACTCATTTGCTCACTATTTTCATGCAGGCCCTCCTGATGACAACTTGTTCATTTTAAAACGCATAATGGTAAATTCCTTTGTTCACTTAAAGTTTGCAACCAGATGTGGTTCAGTAGATCCTGATATTATTTTCACTGTGCAGTGGATCATGTTTAGCATTAGCTGTATTTCTTTTAAACTTATTTTCAATTTTTTTTGCAAAACCTGATTTTGTTCTGTTTTCTTTTAATGTATAGTAGCTTGATTTGTACTAAAATGAAGACATTGACAAGTAAACACTGTGAAGACATTGACAAGTAACACTGAAAACTAAGACGTGCTTCACACAGCATTAGACCAAAATTGGGTTTGTCAGAATTAACATCCTAATAGATACTTTTGCCCATCTTAAGAACTGTTGCCTAGTTATTTCTTAAGTTGTTGGTCTGTTTCTCATTCTTTTGTATTTCCAATGAAGTTGGACTGTTAAGATCATTCGACAAATACATCAGAATATTCAATTTAAATCTTGTATCAGGCTTGTGCTTTAAAAGCGTGCTGAGACTATAAGCTCTTACTAGTTCTTGATGTTTCATCCATTGGTACTGTCTCACAGTCATGCTTCCTCTGTTGACTAAAACATAAATGGTTATATGGAGTTCCATGTTTGGTTAGTTCTTGTTTATTGAATATTTTTAGAGATAAGAGTTATGATATTTCATGGAATATCTTTCGATGAATTTTTACAGCTGGTATTATTCTAAATTCTTAATAGCGGTCTGACTGGGAATTTGTTAATTATCTCACAGGTGGAGAGAGGGGCTTCTGTTTACTTAAGTGGTTTAAGGGAAAAGCATTTTGGAGATTTTTTCCTAAAAGCCTCTTCTTGTGTTGAAGGTTCGGTATCAGTTGGAGCACTAAGCTTTGTCTTTAATAATTCTCAATTGAATTTCGATAACCTGTTACTCTAATCAACTGACTCAATGTCATATGGAATAGGAATGCGTAGAGGTTTTTGTGAAGAAGGTTTGAAACATATTGCAAGATATGTAGAGTCGGTGGAGTCTCGCGTAAATGAAATATGGCTTGCATTTCATCATGAGGGTATTTCGCTGTCAAAGCTGATGTATACTGTGGGAGATGACACGGATGTTGATGAAGTCGAGCATTTCCAGATCTTGCGTCCATCACAATGGTTGCACTGGTTGAAGACAACAAAAGAAGGACAGGAGCAAATGCGCAGTCTGATATGGCAGTTGGTAGGTCACATATTTAATTTCTATGAAACTATTTTGTTACTCTGTAAAATACTGAGTCTCATAGCTAGCTTGTATAGGAGGTTTCTTGGATTTGATGGATGCCTTACCCTTAATTTGTACAGTTTTGGGATTGTCTCATTCTTTTGCTAGGTAAAACAACTTGTGGTAAATATCAATGATAAATTTCCAAAAAAAATAAATTTTAAACCAGCAAAGAAATAATACTTAATCTTGTTCAGCAGATTGCATTAGATCCAAAGATTGTGGGTTGCCTGTGCATGCGTGGGTTTGTTGTCATCAAGGAAGAAAATATCGGTGATATCGGAAATATCGGTAGTCCGAAAACACGGAAATATCGATGGAAATATCGGTAAAATATCGATATCGATAAAAATTACATGGAAACCACGGAAATTGTAAGAAAAACTTGGAAATTTGTATTGAAACTTTGTAGGATGTTTATTTAGTCAATTATCTATTAGTTTATCACAAAAAATTGGAAGGAAATGCATTGCATGATGGATTTAACATTATCAAGTTGATTATATAGCGATCTGACAAATATTATGAGTGTAGAAAATATGTAGTAATTAATGAAAGAAGTCTAAACACACCATAATCATTTATATATAATGAATTAGTACAATATTTTACACTTTAGTACCACATAGAGTTCCTATGAGGTTCAAATTTGTCACTATCTTCATCATCTCTATGTGTAGAATGAGTGTATTGTGAAGAGTAGTTATCAAATGATAAATCCCCAAAATAGTTTTGCATGTAATTGTTAATATGCCACCCATATGGATCCGAGATTGGTTGAGGTTGTCCATAAGAAAAATCATTTGAAGATTGAGGCTGGGATTGATTCCATGAGTCGCTCGATTCCATCCCAACAGGAATGGGATATGAAGGGTAGGGAAATGGTTGGTTATGAGTATAACCATAGTTACTACTTCCCAATCCAAAAGAGTCTGAAGTTCTAGATAACGAGTCATCTTCTTGACTTGACAAAATCCCTTTGCCTCTTTCTCTGCGAGTATAGTCCTTCCCTATGGCACCAATTCCTGGTCCTGCCCGCCTACTGCCATGGTCATCATCTTGTGTTGCATGCGTGAAGTTTGCCTCACCAGTGAAGGGGCTCATATATCCGGGAGGTGGTGGTCCATAATAGTTTCCATATCCACCACCACTACCTCCAGCTCCACTACCTCCAGCTCCACTATTTCCTTCATCATTCCCACCTCCTGTGGTAGGTGAGTCTCCTGATCTTGTACTAGAGCTATCATTAGTATCAGCACGATGTTGTGGTTGTGTAGGATTGGAAAAAGGTGGAATTCCAGTGTTGCTTGGCATTGGGTGCAAAAGTTCTTCGACAGAGTCAGCGCTGCTAGATCCCACCTCCTCCTCTAATACTCTTTCTACATTTATCCCTTCATTACGTGCTTCTTCAGCAACTCTGGGAGCTGGGTTGCCTTCATCATCATCTAAATGAAGAGGTCTAATCCATTGAAAAAGTTGGTTACCCTCCGTATCATCATCTTCACCAACAATATCAAACACATCTAGTGGGTCACCACGGTCGACATGATCGATTTCTGCTTCCTTATCTCGAATTTGAAGCTTCATGTTGTAGTAGCAATAAACTAATTTTTCCAAGCTACTATGAGCCAACTTATTTCTTTGCTTTGTATGGATGAGTGCAAATGTGCTCCAATTTCTTTCACAAGCTGATGAGGAAGCTGTTTGTGATAATACTTTTATTGCTAACTTTCTCACAGTTGGTGCATCGGTCCCATACATGATCCACCATTCAGCTACAATGAAAAATAATGTTGATAAGCCTAATAACTCCAACAAATTCTATTATAAACTTATAGTGAAATATGTTTATACTCACTAGGAGACATATTTGTTCGAGCAGCAACTGATGTTGGTTCTCCAAATGTTCTTCTTGCATCTTTAAACCATGTTAGCTGAATACAATAAATTGTGTTAGTTTAATCCAACAAAGTAATTATTATAATTTAAGTAATTGTGTACCTCATTTCCAAATTGGCCAACTGCTGGTGATGCATGGTCTAATTTAGAGTATACATTATGTACAGCACGTATAAGGGTACCATCATCTCCAACACCGGGTCTGTATTGGTATCGGGGATTCAAATAATATGCTGTTCAAAGAAACACATACTCTAATAAGATAAATAATACTTATGCAACTAAAGAAATGAATTGCAAATTATGACATAATTTATACCTGCTGCATGCAAATCGTGGTATAATGTTTTATACCATCGGTCTTCAATTATTTTTACGACCCACCTTGCACCATGTTTTCTTTCCAATTCATCCTTCACTACACGCATCAACTCATATACAGCCCCCATAGTAGGATACACTTCTATGTCAACGATCCGTAAAACTTTGTAAAGAGGTTCAAACACTTGACACACATGTTCTGTTTGACTCCAAAAAGCATGATCAAGCACTATACTTTCCACCAAACGACCTGTATTTGAGCGGCTAAAATTGTGGTTGGCCCAATCATCACTGATGAATAGTTGCTTCAACCCTGCTTTCTTCTTGAGTAGGCTGTTTAATGCAATATAGTTTGGTGGCGAATCGAGTGGTAGCTGGACGAATAATTTCTCCTCTGCAAAATTCACGCATCTTTGCCAACAACCAACCGTGATTGTAAATATAATTAGTGATCGTTCTAGCTCTTTTGACCACAGTAGCAACATTCTCTCTCTTCCCCATTGCCTCAAACATAAGATCAATACAATGTGCTGCACATGATGTCCAAAACACATTATGATGCTTCATTAACTTTTTTCCAGCTTTGACAAATGCAGAACCGTTGTCGGTCACGACTTGGACAACATTATGCTCTCCCACCTCCATGATTACATCCCTCAATAATTTGTAAATATACTTGTAATTCTTTATATGGTCTGAAGCATCAACAGACTTCAGAAAAATTGTCTTGCCCTTGGAGTATACCATGAAGTTGATGATAGATAATCTGGTCGGGCCGGTCCATCCGTCACACATGATTGTGCAACCATTAGTTTCCCACTTTGACCTCAACTTGTTAACATACTCGCCAATGTCTTTATACTCCATATCCAAATATTTGTTTCTTATCTCATAGGGAGTGGGAGGTTGTACTCCAACACCGGCCTGTTGACATCCCACTACCATATTTTTGAAATGATGTGATGAAGCCTTCGCAGCAGGGACATTTTCATAGATAAAGAACTTGCTAATTAGACGCCCCATTCCCTCCTTCACATTACCTCCCTTGAAATAACTCCAAACACTCTTTTGACGTGCGTTGGATGACTTATATAAACTTGGGGCTATTGGTGGTGTTGGTTGTGATTCTCTAAGACTGCCTCCCCGTCTCATTTGTGCACCACCACTTGTCCCGGAACCTTGTCCCCTATTAGGAATTTTATGAAGGTGTTCTCTTTCCCATGCTGACTGTTTGGAGGCACGTAATGCTTGTTTCAAACTGCGTCGTTCTTCAGGTCCCATGTCATCATCACATTCGTCCTCATCGTCATCCTCATCACTGTCAACCGCTTGGCCATAGACTTCTCCCCGTAGCCCAGCTCGAATATTTTTCATTCCTTGTGTCATCTTTTCCTTCTGCTGTTTTTTATTTTTTAATAATGTGCTGATGAATGCCTTCACTTTTGGGGGGACATTATCGCATCGTTGGACATTTTTTGATGGATCTAATCCACTAAGATGATACTTCAGTCGTGTCACTCCGCCACTCTTCATTACCCGACCACAATATTTGCAAATTGTGCCATGTTTGTTTCCGTCTATTGGGTCTCCATGTTCCCAAGCTGGATCACGTTTACTTGACATCTTAAACGTACCTATATTTATTTTTCATTAAAATTAGACAATTATTTTTTGATAAAAATAAGAGAACCTAAATAATAAAGTTATTCTACAGAAGAATTAAATACAAAGTAAAGAAAATGATTGTAAAAAGTTAAGTAATTATACAAATAATATGGAATAATAAAACCTAATATTAATGAATAATAATCCAATTTGATAATAATTCAATTTAATGAATAATAATCCAATTTGATAAAAAAAATCCTAATGTAAAACATGGTGATGAATAATAATCCAATTTGATAATAATAATCCAATTTGATAATAATCCAATTTAATGAATAATCCACCAATTTGATAAAAAAATTATCCTAAATTAAAAACATGGTGATGAATCATAATCCAATTTGATAATAATAATCCAATTTGATAATAATCCAATTTAATGAATAATCCACCAATTTGATAAAAAAATTATCCTAAATTAAAACATGGTGATGAATAATAATCCAATTTGATAATAATAATCCAATTTGATAATAATCCAATTTAATGAATAATCCACCAATTTGATAAAAAAATTATCCTAAATTAAAACATGGTGATGAATCATAATCCAATTTGATAATAATAATCCAATTTGATAATAATCCAATTTAATGAATAATCCACCAATTTGATAAAAAAATTATCCTAAATTAAAACATGGTGATGAATAATAATCCAATTTGATAATAATAATCCAATTTGAATATAATCCAATTTAATGAATAATCCACCAATTTGATAAAAAAATTATCCTAAATTAAAACATGGTGATGAATAATAATCCAATTTGATAATAATCCAATTTAATGAATAATCCACCAATTTGATAAAAAAAATTATCCTAATATAAAAGAATAATAATCCAATTTGATAATAAAAAAACCTAATATAAAAGAATAATAATCCAATTTGATAATAAAAAAAATCTAATATTAAAGAATAATAATCCAATTTGATAATAAAAAAACCTAATATTAATGAATAATAATCCAATTTGATAATGAAGATGGTAAGGGAAATAAAATAATAAATAATATTAAACATATTAAAATTATCCTAGGGAATAATTATACAACATTACTTAATTACTTAAAACAATTAATATTAACATTACTTAATTACTTACAAAAATTAACATGCAAGTATTAATTACTTAAAAAGATTCACATACGAGTCCACACAAATTTATTTGTTGTTGTATAAATTACAATAATATAAATTTAAGTTTGTAAACTTACCTTAAATATTGAAGCCTTTGTGTTCAAGCTTTGGAATGGATCTGGAATGACTTTGAAAATGGTAAGGAAAATAAAATAATAAATAAACATTAAACATATTAAAATTATCCTAGGGAATAATTATACAACATTACTTAATTACTTAAAACAATTAATATTAACATTACTTAATTACTTACAAAAATTAACATAATTAACATGCAAGTAATTACTTAAAAAAATTAACATACGAGTGCACACAAATTTATTTGTTTTTGTATAAATTACAATAATATAAATTTAAGTTTGTAAACTTACCTTAAATATGGAAGCCTTTGTGTTGCTTGGCGTTGGAAAGGATCTGGAATGGTTTTGAAAATGGTATGGGAAGAAGAATGTAAGTTAAAATTCGGTGAATGCCTCTGATGATGAAAGAATGTAAGTATATAACAGACATTGACACTGTTTTACATGTGAAAGACATTGACACTGTTTTGCATATGAAAGACTGTCACACGCTTTCTTTATTAAAGCAGTAGTATTTGTTGTGCATGTTCTGAAATTGCAAAAAGTTCTTTGGATTATTGTATCAGAGAGGTAGACATAGGTTTGGAATGATTTGGTTTTCAATAATTTGGAGCATTGGATGCTTTTTTTTTTCTAACATGCCATCACTCAGACAGTAAAAAAAAGACTGAATAACTCACACTCCACCACACACACACTTCGAGACCCCCCCACCACACCACACACGCACACCACACACGTACTACCCTATTCCCGAATCCTCTCAGTCTCTCTCGAATCCTCTCAGTCTCGATCTTTCATTTCCCACTCCACCACCCTATTCCCGAATCCTCTCAGTCTCTCTCTTCTCTCTTCTCTCTCTGAGGTCGGTCTGAGCCTTCGTTCTCACCGAGAAGTTCTCAGTCTTCTCCCTCCCTTCCCCCTTCTCCACTTCTTCCACACACACACACAGAGACATCATCACCGAGAAGTTCTCAGTCCTCGTCCGTGTCTCCGTGTCTCCGTGTCTCCTTGTCTCCCTCTGCTCCTCCCATCTCACCCGCCCTAAACCCAGCCGTCGACACCACTCCTTAACCGTCCGTGTCTCCGTGTCTCCCTGTCTCCCTCTGTCTCCGTAGTCCAAGCCGTCGACACCACTGAGGACCACGAACTTGTCCCAGCCGTCTTGGATTCGTGAGGATTTTAGGGATGTTGCAATTTTTCTGCATGTTGCACACCTTTGTTACTTTAAATTTTTGTAAAGATTTCAATTTTTGTAAAGATTTCAATTTTTCTGCATGTTGCACACCTTTGTTGTACTGAAATTGATTTTAGGGATTTAGGAATTAGGGTTCTATTTTTGTACAGATTGCGATTTATCTGCATGTTGCTTGATTTTTGTACTGAAATAGATTTTAGGGATTTAGGAATTAGGGATTCAGTTCAGTTGCTTTGAATCCGAATTTGGGGATTTAGGGATCGGTTCATTTGCTTTGATTTTTGTACTCAAATCGTTCTTCTCGGCTTGTAAACATGTTGATTTTTGTAATGAAATCGTTCTTGTCGGAATCCTGTATTGTAGATTCAGTTCATTAGGCTGGAAATTAGCATTTGGGGATTTAGGGTTTCAGATTATTTGCTCCGGCCGTGTTCTCCGACGAGTCCATACCAAATATCGCGATAGTTTCGAAAATATCGCGATATTATCGATAATATCGATAATATCGCGATATTATGCCGAAAACTAGTTGGATAGTTACTAAAATATCGGGGTCCCCCAAAAACGATAATATCGGCGATATTTCGCCGATATTATCGATATTTTCTACTGTGGTTGTCATAACCTAAACCAGTTAACCGTGCTTTGTTGTAATTAGTCTTAAATTGGTTCTTTTTCTGTATGTTTTTGGGTAACCATATTTGTCCCTTTTTTTGCTTTTATGACCAACACACTCATTAAATACATGGCCCTTCTTGATCTCTCCCAGCTGACTGCGTTGAAATCCTGCCATGACCGCAAAATTACCCACCGAGATATCAAGCCTGGTGAGTGTTCAAGCATCTTTCAATGGTTCGCCCTTCAAGTAACTGCCCTCTTCTTGGCTATAGAACCTTTTTTTTTTTTGTGTGCGCCTTAGAAAACTTAACTGCACTTTTGGCAGGAAACATTGTCATATGTTTTGAAGACAAACACAGTGGGAAATGTCTGAAAAAAAATTCACTTGGAGAGAAGAAAGTCAGCTTTCAAGTATAGGTTTTTCTTACTGTTCACCTTTATACTTGCATGTGTCTTTTTATGTTTATGTTGTTAAATGGTTTGGAATGGTGATTGATGCCTTCAATTGGGACAATACTTTAGGCACATTATCGACTTTGGGAGCGCAATAGATGAATTTACACTCAAGAACTTATATGGCTCTAGTGGACCATCTAGGTATCGCGTTTATTCATTGTGTCAATTTTATCAAATCATATAATGGTTTTACCGATAGTCACTGGTTTTGTGCTTCAATAAAGATGAACAAACCAATGAGTATACTCCTCCCGAGGACTTACTCTATGCTGATTGGTATGAAGGGCCAACGAGCACGAGATTGAAGTATGTTCATCTTTTATAAATTTAGCTCATTTACTTAAATTGCATTTTGTTTGTCAGTGATCTAATAATAAATGCTATTGTATGTGACTGATGGACTAAATTTCCTTTGACAGTTATGATATGTGGAGTGTCGGTGTTGTGATCCTAGAGCTTATTTTAGAATCTTCAGAAATATTTCAAGTTACGGATTACACACGTATCTTGAAATATATCTGAAACTATTTAGTGTCAGTGTACGTGTGTAATTCGTAACTTGAAATATTTCTAAAAGATTCTAAAATAAGCTCTAGGATCACAACACCGACACTCCACATATCATACCTGTCAAAGGAAACTTAGTCCATCAGTCACATACAATAGCATTTATTATTAGATCACTGACAAACAAAATGCACTTTAAGTAAATGAGCTAAATTTATAAAAGATGAACATACTTCAATCTCATGCTCGTTGGCCCTTCATACCAATCAGCATAGAGTAAGGCCTCGGGAGGAGTATATTCATTGGTTTGTTCATCTCTGGTGAAGCACAAAACCAGTGACTATCGGTAAAACCATTATATGATTTGATAAAATTGACACAATGAATAAACGCGATACCTAGATGGTCCACTAGAGCCATATAAGTTCTTGAGTGTAAATTCATCTATTGCGCTCTCAAAGTCGATAATGTGCCTAAAGTATTGTCCCAATTGAAGGCATCAATCACCATTCCAAACCATTTAACAACATAAACATAAAAAGCCACATGCAAGTATAAAGGTCAACAGTAAGAAAAACCTACACTTGAAAGTTGACTTTCTCTCCAAGTGAATTTTTTTTCAGACATTTCCCACTGTGTTTGTCTTCAAAACATATGACAATGTTTCCTGCCAAAAGTGCAGTTAAGTATCTAATGCGCACACAAAAAAAAAAGTTCTATAGCTAGGAAGAGGGCAGTTACTTGAAGGGTGAACTATTGAAAGATGCTCGAACACTCACCAAGCTTGATATCTCGGTGGGTAATTTTGCGGTCATGTCAGGATTTCAACGCAGTCAGCTGGGTGAGACCAAGAAGGGCCATGTATCTTAATGAGTGTGTCAGTCATAAAAGCAGAAAAAGGGACAAATATGGTTACCCAAAAACATACAAAAAAAGAACCAATTTAAGACTAATTACAACAAAGCACACTTGTTTTAAGCACTCTAGTGTGAGTGTTGGGGGAGGTGGTGTAAAAAGGTACACCAACACTCACACTAGAGTAAGCTGGATGTGGATGTATTTGATCCCCCGAGCTTTGTTCGCCTAAGGCTCTAAGCATCAAAAGACAATATAAAAAAGGGTAAAAATCTCAACTGCTCACTCATGATAAGTGATGTGCGGGAGTGTAATTATGCATGTCCTCCCGCACAGTATATATGACTTTGTCACCTTTTTATTGTTTAAATAAAATCAACGGTAAGTTTTGTCCAAATAATATCAAAACCTTATATTTATCTTCTACCTTCAATTTAGACAAAATTTACAAGTTAACATTCTGATTTGGCCCAATAAAATGCTAACTCTTTATTTTTATTCTTTCTGTAGTGGTCCAAATTGAATATATATATATTGAGGGAGAAGGCAACAATGGTGAAACATTCATAATCTCAAAATCGCCCTCTCATTAAATTTTCAAATAAAATAAGAAAATCACAATAAATTTTATTTTTATTTTTTTTAAAAAAGCCAACCCACAGAGTGGTTAGTAATTGATTTTATTATTTTTTGAGATATATTATGATTTTGTTTTTCCTTTTTTGTTTTTTTTTTCAAATAAAAAATAAAGAGGCAACAATATAATCGTTATGAGCGGTATGTTTCAACCAATTAAACTATAAGCTCCTACAGATCTCTATATGCAATTCGCGTCTGGTAAGATGCTAGCATAAATGATAGGATAATACTTTTTTTTTTTTTTTAAAGTAAATGAGAGAATAATACTTAGATATTCAATAATAAGTATCTTATTTACTCACCGTTTGATTTGGCCAGATAAACAAATTTCATGTGTTTTGTTGTTTTTAAAGTTCAAGAAAAATTAAACAACTTATATATTATGGTTTAAAATAATAAAATATCTGTTATAATATTATTGGACAAAATAAAGAAGTGAGTACTCAATGGCGAGAACTTAAATTGTTACTTTTATCACATTTTTCATATCCACATGTGTTGGTAGACTCTACCTCTATTAGAAAAGTAATTTATGTGTTATGAAAAATATAGCAAGTGAAGAATTCTTATATCCTGAATGATATAGGCCTCGTTTAAAAATGTTTTAAAATGATTGGAAGTAATTTCGTTGAAGATATTTTTGAAACAAATTCTTAAAAAAAAATCCAAGTGAATCCTAGAAAAATACAATAAGTGCTTCGAGTAAGAAGCACATATTTGTTACTTTTTACAAATAACACTTAAAAGTATTTTTGAAAACTAAAATTAATTTCACTAAAAACATATTCATGTTGTAAATAGTGGGTATGTTTGCCCACATGTGTATAGTAAAGTATCACATCTGTATAGTATAAACTCACAAGCTAAATAGTAACCCTTTTGTAATTTTCCATTGAAGTTGCTCTATAAATAGAGTTCTTAGATTGTTCAAATAAGAGAGAACATCAAGAAGAGAAAAGGAAGAGAAAAACATCTAATAGCAATAATATACATTACTTCCTCTGCAACAGCTTGTGTTGGTATAATACTCTGCAACTACTTCGTTCCTGTTCTGAGTAAAGGTTATATCTCTAAATTTTGCCTATTTATAACATGTTATCAGCACGACTCTTTAATCATTTTCTCTTTTCCCTTCGCCGAAAGAAAAAAAAAATGTTTCCTCTAAGGTTTTTACTGTTCTTCTTCTTCCTCTGCCTTAATTACTGGATATACCCTCGCGAAGAACTGTTTGCACCATGTTTACTTCTAGTTCTCCAACTAACAGTTACTTATATTTTTGATTTCTTGTTTGGTGTAAATATTGACTACTGACCCACTGATTATTTATGCAATCCAAGATTGTGCGGTTCTATCGCCTATCTTGGACTGCAGATCTAATTATCCTGCATATTTAACTTTACATATTTAATTTTATCGCAATCTTAGGTGGTGTGAAATAATCACCCACCCTGCTTTACATACTTAATTTTATCGCAATTTTAGGTGGTGTGAAATAATCACCTACCCTGCTTTACATATTTAAATTTTATCACAATCACAATTTAGGTGGTGTGAAATAATCACCCACCCTGCTTTACATATTTAATTTTATCTCAATTTTAGGTGGTGTGAAATAATCACCCCACCCTGTTTTACATATTTAAATTTTATTGCAATTTTAGGTGGTGCGGTATAATCGTCCACCTTACTCTACATATTTAAATTTTCCTGCTGTTTAAAGTAGTGCGGAATAATCGCCCATCCTGTACTTGTTTCGATGAGAATGGTGCGGTACAATTGCCCTTCTCATTAATCTCGAGCCTGAAGTTTCGAGTACTTAACATTTTGGCCTGAAGATCAAAAATTTGTAAGAACCAGAAGTTCTAACAATATATTTCTCCAGAACACATATTATTGCAAGTTTTTACACACCTCATTTTTCTTTCAGAAAAGAAAATGACAAACTTGGCAAAACTTAATTTCGCTGCCCTGGACATTACTGGAAAGAATTACCTTACCTGGGTACTGGATACCAAGATCCATCGGGAAGCAGCGAATCTTGGAGATACCATCAAGGAAGAAAGCAACTCATCTTCTTAAGATCGGGCAAAGGCCATGATTTTTATTCGTCGCCATCTTGATGAGGCACTAAAGAGCGAGTACTTAACGGTTAAAGATCCGTTAGCCCTCTGGAATGCCTTGAGAAGCAGATACAATCACCAGACAACGGTGATTCTTCCAAGAGCTCGCTATGACTAGACTCACCTAAGGATCCAGGATTTCAAGTCAGTGGCTGAGTACAATTCGGCGTTGTTCAGAATTACCTCTCATATAAAGCTATGTGGGGATACTATTACTGAGGAGATGTTATTGGAAAAGACTTTCAGCACATTCCACGCCTCTAACATGGTCCTGCAGCAGCAGTATAGAGCGCGAGGCTTCACTGAATACAACCAGCTGATATCTGTGCTCTTGGTAGCTGAACAGAACAATGAGCTCCTGATGAAAAACCATAATTCTCGACCTACTGGATCAGCACCGTTCCCAGAAGTGAATGTTGCTTCCCTTGAAAGGAATACCATATCCTCCCGTGGCAATAATTACAAACGAGGACGTGGCCACAAGCAAGGCCAGTGGAAAGGGAAAGGCAAGAACCATGGTGTCCAGTTTCACAACCAGGTTCCAAGTCATAATCCAGGCTCGAGCTTTAAAAATGCAAATCGCCAGAAAGGAAAAACTCATGTGAACACTCATAGAAATCCTGAAGGAGGTTGCCATAGGTGTGGTGGCAACGGACATTGGGGGAGTACTTGTCGCACCCCAAAGCATCTAGTGGAGCTATATCAAGCTTCCTTCAATGAGAAGGGTGTCGAGATCAATTTCTTCGATCAGGCTCAACCAATGGAAACCCCTGATCCAGTGATCAATTTATCAGGACAGTTAAATACAACCCACCTAGATGCTACAAACTTTAATGAAAGAGGGAATGAAGTTTATGGGTCCGGTTGAATTATTTATGTTTAATGTACTCCTATTATTTGTACTTGTGGTTTAATGTTCGCATTTTCAATTCAATAAAAGTAGTATTCCAATATGAATAAATTGCTTTTTCTTTACTCAGAGAACATGGATAAAAATTATGGTTATTCTCAAAACAAGAGCAATGGCGGAGAATTTTGTCTTACAGACAATGCAACCACGCATTCAATACTTCGAGATTGAAAGTATTTCTCGAATTTGGTACTTGCAAAAGTAAAGGTAACAACAATATCAGGGCAATCAGATGTAATTGAAGGCTCAGGAAAAGCCCAGATTATGTTACCAAATGG